ATGGCCAAGACGAAAAATTCTCGCTACAGCTTGAAAAAATATCAGAAATATATAATACAGAACACTCAACAATCGATGGCCCAAACAAAAAGAATCGCTATCGCTTAAAGAAATCTTATCCATTTGTTTTCTCACTCGCACTCGCATTCACGACCGAGAGACCCCAAGATAACGCACACTAGTCTGCTCACGTGTAAAGACCGATGAAGAGGTGGGCTGTCCCCTCTCTTACAATTACCTTTCACCTTCATTTTCTCGCTTATTTTTGCAAATACGAAGATATACCTTACAACATTTTTTATGTATTTTTTAATTATCTACAACTTTTGTTTGAAACTTTTTTCGATTAAATGCCTAAATCTAAGATACGGCCATTTTTTACCCTTTTTTACCCTTTTTCTCGGAGTCGCGCCATCCAATTGCAAAAAAATTAGCACCATTCGATTCGGCGTCGTCGAATTACCATAAATATCAACTTTCCACCCTGGCAGCTTTCCGGCCATCATTTTCCATTTATTGACTGGGCTAAGACGTGTCCACTGCAAAATAATGTAGATAATAATAATTATTATATACTTATCATAATTAAAATAATGATAAGTAGTCTATATGAGTCTACAGAATTAGAGCTTTATAACGTAAGGAATAGAAAAAGAAAATGAGTGCATGAAGTATACCTATGAAAAGAAGACAGGGTACTTTCATATGAAAAACGTATTTGATACTGAACACTCTTTGTTCCAGTATCGGAGTGCGTAGCATGTAGTCAAAATGTCATTTACTTCTAAAACTTATTTAGATACTCAATAGCAATGTATAATTAAAAAACCAGAAAAAAGACCCTTACAGTAGTCGCATATGTGTAACATTTGACATGTTATCGTGGTAAATACGCAACGGTAACTTTAATCCCCTTATCAAAAATTTTTATTTAATTAACACAAAGAGTAAAAGACAAGAGGAGACACAACCATGTATTCGACAACCGAAATCACTGTTTGTCCATTGTCAAATAGACATTCTGCAGAACTTATATCCCCCAATATCTTGACTAGCAATACCCAGTTCACTTCAACAATGACAATTGTAAAGTAGTACGACTGACAGCTAGATTTGGTAAAGCAGTAGTTTGGTCGGCCGTTGATGTTTGTGAGAGAATTGTGCTCGCTGAACGTGTCCAAAAATCCCTGCTGAGTTGAGTTGAATTATTCGCAATTTTTTTCGGATTTACTCCTCCAGTTTTTTATTTTTCCTCACGTTCCTTTGGCCGAATATTTCCCAGATATTCTTTTCTGGATTTACCCATCTCTACAAATCACGAAATCATGAGAATTTAATATGCTTGGTAAATGTTTCACAATAAAAATATTAGAGAAAATCAAAATTACCCGTGTAATTAATTATTTAGTTTCTTTCAATCGAAAAAACATTATTAATCACAATGAAAAATATTATATTGACAGTGACATAAATTAACCTCAAAGTATAAAAATGATACGCACCTAAATATTTATTTGAATAATTCCATATTACTTACTCGCATTTGTTTAAGAATAATGAACTTTGTCAGACGATTCACATAAATATACTCTATACTAATGTATAGAGTTTACACATATAAATATAACTTTTAATTTTATACACAACACTGTATAACTGTAGATAAGTGCACAGTTGATGCGTTCTCCTTCTCTTTTTCCCTTTCTCTTTCTCGTCACACAATGCACACACTATGTTGGCCAACAGTACGACATGGTACCAACCTCACGCAAAATGAGTTGGCACCATCTCACAGTTATCTCTCCAGCACCGCGCGCCGTCATTGGTCAAATCAAAAAGCGCGCGTTTCCTCGGTTTCGTGTTGAACATTTTAGGCCAGTAAAAAGACTTTTTCAGACATCAATGAACTTTTTTGATATAATGGTAATTCGACGACGCTGAATCGAATGGTGCAAATTTTTTTGCAATTGGACCAGGAGATCTTTGAGAAAAAGGGTAAAAAAGGGTAAAAAACGGCCGTATCTTAGAATCTAGGCATTTAATCAAAAAAAGATGTTTCAAACAAAAGTTGTGTAGAATTGAAAAATACATAAAAAATGTTCTAAGGTGTATCTTCGTATTTGCAAAAATAAGCGAGAAAATGAAGGTGAAAGGTAATTGTAAGAGAGRGGGMAAGCCACGCCTCTTCGTTGGTCTTTACACGCGAGCGAGCTAGTGTGCGTTATCTTGGAGTCTCTCGGTCGTGAATACGAGTGCGAGAGAGAAAACAAAAGGATAATATTTCTTTAAGCGATAGCGATTCTTTTTGTTTGGGCCATCGATTTTTGAGTGTTCTGTATTATATATTTCTGATATTTTCTCATGCTGCAGCGAGAATTTTTCGTCTTGGCCATCGAGTGTCGAGCGTTATATATACGAGTGCGAGTGAGACAAGAAACCAATATTTCTCTCTTTCTAATTTTTTCTTTGGAAGCGAGAATTTTTCATCTTGACCATCGAGTGACGAGCATTATGTATATCTATATATATCGGCGTATAAGCGCGGCGTTTTTAAATCGAATCTTGATGCTTATGGCACGCGGTTTTTTTTATTTATTGTAGGTTGTCTCGTCTTTGCTTCACGCGCCAGTTATAAACGTTCGATTCTTCGTGGGGGAAATTTTTTTTTTATAAATTTTTCTATCCTTAAGCTATACAAATTCTTTTTACATTTCTTAATTTTTAATTTTCTACAGGATGGAAAAAAAATTAGAAACAGTAAATTGTTTATTATTTTGCGCAAATAAAGAAAGATTTATTACTAGAATTTCAGTTAACATTTTATTTT